AAGAGATGGGAAAATGTGCTGCAAACATTGAAAGGGGCTTCAAAATAGAGCAACGAGGATTGGCCACAAAATTTGTTTGTAACTTTCTCAAGACGATGGTCCTCAATTTTATAAATTAAGTGGAAAAATAAAAATATGATGATCCTCAATTTTACAAATTACTTTATTTATCTCAAAATATAAATAATTTAAAATTTTTACACAACGATTAAGAAGCAATTAATTTTCTTAGATTATAACAAACTGAATAATAATTTGTCTCAAAATTAATAATTAATTATGATATATTGAAAAAACATTGCTTATATTTTTTGAAATACATAAAATAACTTATATTTTTAAAATAAAAAACGATTATTAGTTTGAGACAGAGCGAATACTTAAAAGATATAAACCAAATAAAATTTTTCAAAACAGTATCAAGAGTGTGCACAAGTTTCTTGGACTCTGACGTATTCTAGAAAATCGTCTAAAATTTTTCAGTCTAAAAAAAAAAACTCAATATGATATAATTCTACCTCGAATACTGTCCTAAACGTAAGTTTAATTTTTTGGTTTTTAACTGGTCCACGTCAACTCAAACTTCCATTAAATTTACAGCATTTACAACTTTAATCCTAAAAATGACAATGGGTAGGTTACCCATTAAAATTGCCCTACCCGTATTCATACCGGTTTAAATATTGTATATCCAATTGGTTTAAATATACGCATGCAAATCAAGACGTAAAATCTCCAACTAAATAAATTCAAATATCATATTTTAATTTAGTAATAAACTCTTATAAAGAAGGGATCACCCTCACAAAGTTGAGATAAAAAAAACTCTGAATGTAGAGAAAAACCAATAATAACAAAAATACAAAAAAAGGATAAATCTATTATAGAAAAAACATATCTGAGTTATTAGAGTGAATAAAAAATTAAAAGTGAAGGTGAAGCAAAAGAAAGAGTAGAATGTAGGGTTAAAAGACTTGAAAGAAAATAAAGAAAGGAGAGGGAATAGTGTTAGACGTATATGCTACTAATTGTTTTTATCATTTAGTTATTTTAACATATAAATAGAAATATCAAATACAATAATAATATTAATTATTATTTAATCATGCTTAATATTAATATTAATTATTATAATTAGAGAAAGTTATCATCGTACTCTTGTATTTTGCTAAAAAAGAAAAAGACATTACCTTGTCTTTTTAAAAATTGACTAATATATTGTCGCATTTTGAGTCTATTACATTAAATTGTTTCAATATTTGCAATTTTATAGTACAAGTCAAAGGAAAACCTAACGATTATGATATCTCGCTTGAACACCATTCCAATTAAAGAAATTGAAATGCTAAATTGGACTAAAACTACACGGAAAAAGCTTATTAATCTGATTTTGCTTTTAGAAAAAAGTAGTCGTCATCTTATGTTTAATTATTAAAGGGAAAACTTAAGGAAAAAAAAAAAAATCCTAACATGATTCCAAAAAAATAATTGCCCAATGGAAAAAAATAAACTAGAAGTTGAAACCAAAGAAGATTTAGCGACCAGCTTTTTGACATAATTTGTACGATTATCATTATTGTAAACTAGTATTGGAAATTTTTGTAGAGCTAGCTTATACAATGATAGTCAATCAAAAATGTGATATTTAGTGGATGACATGTGAAGTAAAATTCTTTTTTCTGTTTGGCTACTTAGAAAATGCAAGAATATGTTGAACTTTGTTTAACTAGGTTAAAGACGAACAAGGTATATAGATAAACATAAACATTATCAAACAACTTACTCTGTTTGTTAAGGATTTTTAAACGACATGGCTAGTTGCAGTATCAAATTAAGTTATCGATTCATCATAAATATAACATTCAATTGTCAATCCTATAAAATGTTTATTTAATTTTGTATTTTATTCATTTATTTTTTATATTTTATATCATTTTTACATTTGGTTGATTGATTTTTATATTTTATACTCCTTCTGTTGTTTTTATATAGAAACAACTAATTTTTCACTAAGATTAAAAAAGTAGTTTAACCAACTTTTTTGTGCCCTTCTTTTCCTAATTTACCCCTAATATCTCATTTATTTCTCCTCTAATATCAATGTATGCTTTAAATTATGTTTCAATCTTCAATGAAGCTTTAAATGCTTTGTTGGAATAAAGAGAATAAAGACGGATGCAAAAAATAAAGTTTATGCTCTAAGTTGTGGAGGAAAATACATTTTTTAGTCTTTTATTTAGGAAAGTTGTGTTGAAATATGAAAATTTATGCTCATTTAACATTTCAACTACTTTTGATTATTGAAGACATACTTTAAATATCGTGCAATTTATCAAATATTCAAGTGAAGTCCGTATAAATGCTTTTCATTGTGTTCAACCTAAAAATTTTGTGGCCTTTTTCTATTCAAACTGCATTTTAATCAGCACTCAAATCACCTATATGAGCATATTTTTTTTCAATGAAAATTGATGTAAGAAACCAATTCTCCAAAATTTCTTCACATTAAATGTTCATCTATACTTTTGTCTGTCATTATCTTGAGAATCTCCCACAGTAAAAGCTTCACAAAGAATTAAACAATGGTAAAATAGATTTTTCACATTGGCATAGTTCCCAAAGTTATCAAATTAGGCAAAATTTTCTATATAAAAAGAACACTCAAAATAGAAACTTTTCCTATATAAAAAGAACAGAGGGAGTATCATTTTATATCATTCAATCCTATAAATTATTTATCATTAATTACCCAAAATACATTTTCAGGTAAAGTGTTGCTGGTCTTTAATTAAAGGGAGAGAGCTGAATGGCCACAATCCTTTATATATTGATGAGAAAGAAAACTAAGAGTCGTTTGATTAAAAAAAAAACTACAAAGTCTTTGGAAATAGAACACACTAATTAATTAAAAATAATGCTTTATTTATTGATGAGAAAGAAAACTAAGAGTCGTTTGATTAAAAAAAAACTACAAATTCTTTGGAAATAGAACACACTAATTAATTAAAAAATAATGCTTCCTGCATCAAGAAGAAATGTCATCTAATTTCATTAATTAATATAATTAATTAACCTTCCACAAATCAAGATGATTTAATTTAATTAATCTTCAATTATTTAATCCAAACGTCAAAGAAACGTCTTAATTACACATACAAATGCAAGAAGAAGAGAAGAGGAAAAACAAGTTATCCAAAAGAAGACAAGCAAGTTATCCAAAAGGAAAAACTAATGGAAGGAATAATTAGTTTAGAGGTTAAAGGAAAGAAAAGGCAAATAAACTACTCTCCTAAAATTCTTTTGGGGCTTTATATTTTCGTGGAAAAAGAAATTAAGAAAACCCTAATAGCATTGGCCATTTACAAGGTCCATGAAAGCAAATTGATGAAAATGGCTAGCGTCAGCAATGTAGTTTCTGTCAAGGAAGAGAAATGGATAAAGCATTATTGTAGTTCTCAGAAAATACTCCTCGTTGGTGAAGGAGACTTTTCTTTTGCTGTTTGCTTGGGTAGAGCCTTTGGTTCTGCTACAAACATTGTTGCCACTTCTTTGGACTCCAAAGGTAAAGCACTTTCTCTTAAGTATGTATTTCTTTTTTTTTTTTTTTTTTTAACTTAGGGTACACAAACAAAGACGATCAAGGATTTTTGATGGAACGCTCTCTCTCATTTTAGAAACAGCATCATTGATCAAAGAAGAAAGTATGTAATGATGTGAAGAAACTATAGTTAAATTCTTATTAGAGTAAGTATCAAGCTTAATCTGTTATGAGGGACACACAAGCAGGAGGATACCACCTTAATAAAGGTCGGGAAGGAATGAATAGCTAATTAAGGGCAGGTTTAAAGTAGGTGAGAAGAAAATAGGGAAAATAAAAATCTACTGGTCTCTGCTCTATCTTGAAAATTTGGTTATGGTGGGGCTTATGTATTTCTCCTACCGCTGGGTTATATAATGAATTTTGAGAGTAAAGGAGACCAGGTAATAAGCAGGAAATTTGGCCATAACTGATGTACTCAAGGTCCTCTGTGAAGAGCAGAATTTGATATTTGATAACACATTGGCTAGCGTGCAGGCGTATATGGTTAGGGTTTCCGTTTGTCCTAATGGAAGTAGAATTGGTATATAAAATGTCAACCTATATTTTATGCGCTTCTCCCTAGAAAGGAGGGAATATCCTCTCTTCTGGAGGGTTTTTGGGTCTCCTGTCGGTTGGAGGGGAAGGGAAAACTTTTGATTGCTCCTTTGCTGTTTTGCTTGGCGTTTATGTTATTAGGGCGCCTTTGGGAAATATATGGTTCTGCTACAAACATTGTTTGCCGACACTATTTTCTTCTTTAAAAATCCTTTGGACATGACTCAAAGAGAATAAATGTCTAGTCTCTGGATTAATAGTTAATACGTGTGATTCTTTTTTTTCTCTCTTTTTTTTGTTATTTAAGCGCGCGATTAGGTTTTCGGTATCGGAAGGCGCTTTGACTATGTCATTCGGCTTTCTTTGACCTTGGCCCATCTAAATTGATATGAGGTTGTCCTCGTTGGAGCCCAAGATAGAATACTCTTCAAGACATTTGCGGGTTGGTTTTTTTTTTTTTTTTTTTTTTTTAACTATTCGGTATCCGAAGCCGATTGGCCCATCTAATTTGGATTCACGTTGGGCAGCCTCGTCTCGCAAAGGGGCAAAATGCTCATTCCCGAGTATTTAAAGAGACTTCATACCCAGAATTTGAACTCAAGACCTCTGGTTAAGGGGGAGAAGGGATCTCTACCATCCCACCTCATCTCACCTGTTGGGGATTAAGTATGCATGTAAAATGATCATTCTTATTTTGATTTTGTTTTGTAAAATAAAGATGAGTTGAAGTCAAAGTACTCAAAAGCTATAGTGCACTTAAAGGAGCTAGAAGAGCTTGGATGCACAATTGTTCATGGAGTGGATGCTCTTACAATGAGACAACACCCTCTCCTCAACAACAAATCTTTTGACAGGATAGTCTTTAACTTTCCTCATGCTTCTCTTATCTGGCGTGAACATGACTGGCTCCAAATTGAGTAAGTTTGGGGTTTATCTCGTACCTGTCTCATGTCTCTAATTGTTAAAATTGTCTTTTCTGATTTAGTTTATGGTTAATGCACAGGCTTCATAAGAAGGTAGTGGAGGGCTTTCTTAAGAGCGCAAGAAACATGTTGTCAAAGAATGGTGAGGCTCATGTGACTCACAAAACTGCTCATCCATTCAGTAATTGGGAGATTGTGAAGTTAGCCAAGCAAGTTGGGTTATGTTTGGTTGAAGAAGTAAGGTTCAATATATGGGATTATCCTGGATATGAGAATAAGAAAGGGTATGGCCTTGGCCTCCAATGTGACCTGACATTTCCTGTTGGAGCTTGTTCAACCTTCAAATTTGCCTAACTTGCAATCTCATAACTGGAAATTAGTCATGTTAAAAAAAAAAAAAAAAAAATCTAAATCCTTAATGGAAGTACTTGAACTTTTTGAGTCATTCTGGGTTTGGTTCTAGGTAGACTATATTGTTTGACTGCCAAATAGATTTTATAATATGCACAATGTTAATGGTGGTAGCAGTAGTGAAGGCCAATTGCAACAAATCATTCACACAATCTGCAATTTATTATATTAGGTTTTTTTTTTTTTAATATTTTTGACACGTCCATTACTTAAACATTTTAATAATATTTGAACATTTAATTTCAAAAATATTAAGATTGATATTGAATATTTATTTTATTAATATTGGGACAAAGTAGTTTTGAGCTAACTTACACATTATTTGACCCACCCTTAATTAGCGTCTCTCATTGCTGTCAAAATCATTAAGCTTTTATATGTTAGTATAGTCTTCACTCTTCCTCCGAAAACCTAAAACCTAAATAATCTATTTTCTTTTTTTTTTTTTTCAAATAATCCTCAGATTTGTATACAGATTTGAGTTATTGTTTCCCATATATTGAGATTTTGTTCTCAGATCTAATTCTAAATTATTGTTATTACCATTCTAGTGATTTTGTCTATTTTTTTTTATTATTTATATAGTTATGCAGAAAGAAATATAGATTTTCGAAAGAAATTTAAACGTAATCATATCGGATTTATAGAAAGACCATCAAGCCGAACAATGACCATGAATAGGCACTATGTGGAGTAAGTGATCGCCAATGGAACAAATATTATGCTATGTCAACTCGATCAGATATTTCAAATCAAAATTGTGTTTTTTTATTCTTTGTATAAGTGATTTATTATTAGACTTTCTGTACAAAAATATAAAAACATATTGATCTATAAGACAACGATAGATTGTTTGAGCTAATCGGGTTACCATATATTTGGACGCCTCGCGTCCTCATAACTTAAATTGCTTCGAGTCTCTATCGAATATTGACTGGGGATTTTAAGTCCAAAACATTCTTCTATTAAATGCTTCTTTATGAATATGTTAGTGGGGAGTAGGGTATCCTTCACTCTTCCTCTTCGGAAAAAGCCTAAAACACATAAAAAATCAGACTCCTTATTTTTTAGGCCTTTTTCCTTTCTTTCCTATTTAATTTCAAATAATCCTCAGATTTGTATAACAGATTAATGAGTTAAATTGCTAATAATGGCACACTTATTTCGGGTTCATTGGTTTTGGAGACGTTTACTCTATATTTGTTCTCAAGATTTCTATCATGCTAAGTTCGTTTATTGTGTATTACCATTCTCTTATGTTGACTTTGCTTTTGTCTTATAATTTGTATATTTATTATTCTCATCTGTATAAGTTTCACTAATGTGGGCGGTAGGGTCCGTTTCATCAGAAAGAAATAGTAGATTTGAAGAAATTTAAAAACGTAAAAATCAATTCGGATTTATAGAAAGACCACTCAATCCGAACAATGACCATGAATAGGCACTATGTGGAGTAAGTGATGCGCCAAATGGAACAAATATTATGCTATGTCAACGATGCGATCAGATATTTCAAATCAAAAATTTGTGGTTTTTTTTTTATTCCTTGGTACTCAAAACGTGATATTAATTTTCCTAATTATGTACGGCTCAATTTCCTCTGTACAAGATTACTATTTATAAAACATATTGATCTATAGTTTTCCCCATCCAGCTTAATGAAATTTTTTATCCGTCTTTAACTTTATCGTCTACTCAAACATTCCTAGAGTGTTTATATAACATTTATGGACTGTGGCTCTTCTACGGGCGAAAAAAAAAAGATAGGCATCATACATTCTACTCAATCTCCACATTATCTCGGGTGTGCTCCTTAAAGCTTGGAATAGCCTACATATAATGAATCTTATTTTACACTTTTTGGTGTGCTTTTCTCTCACATTTACTCTCACGTCATTTTTTTCTATTGAGCTAATATGGTGAACCTATACCTAATAATTGATGGCACATAGAAAAGAGGAAAGTTAAAATAATATTATTCTATTCAATTTTTCAAAAATATATCCAATCATGGTATGATATTTGGGGTAACGCTATGCTTACGGGAATAAGTACTCATCACTTTATCTTTGGACATCAAATATTATATATTCCTCTTTATGATTCCGGTTTAGTTCAAACTAAACACAGGTAAATGCATTTTGATTACCATAGTAGCAGTTATCTATTACTATCATTTTCTCATATATATAGTATGAATTATCCCACAGGGCCAAGATATGTTTTCCATTATATAGAACCCTGATAAAGACAGTCTCCAAGTGTTGGAACTTAGCTTTGTGAAATTGGTAAGTCACTATTGTTTAGGAGGAACGGATATAACTAAGTTCAGAAATTTTCATCACTAGCCATACGCATTGTAATAAAAACGATAAAGGGTGTATATGAAACTAAACAAATTGTAATAACGAAGTTAGTGTTTTATTATATATTTTTAGAATAATGTTCTTTAATCAATAATCATATCGTATTCGCTTATGTATTAGACAGATCCATAAATAGAAATAAATATAATAATAAAATTAGGATAATATAATACATTTGGAATAGTAACTTGGGTTAATTAAAATATGACCAAATATTGAAACAGGTCTAAGCACTATATAACAAATTATAATGAAGAATTACATCTTAATTTAATGTGATCGGGGAGTATTTAGATTGAGTTGATTCTTTTCCATGTACATAATACTCGCTTGTGATTGAACTATCAATTAATACTTTGTACTCAAAACTAGATAGTCCATTGTCGTCACCTTTAAAATTGTGATGAGTGCTTCAGTTCCTTCCTAAATGGAGAATTTTTATTCTTTATGGGCCTCTCTAAACAAGGCAAGGATTTTTCTGGTCTTCTAAGATCATAGTGGTTGTCTTGGCAAATTGTGTTACTATACTATGTAGTTCTTAGAAAGTTATAGGCCCATTCTCGTTATCACAGGAGATATAAGCCCTTATCACGGGCAAAAAGATTGTGAACTCATATTTACTTATCATCACTGGAGTCGATTCTGGGGCAATGTCTTTTCCGGGGAGCGGGACAACACTAATGGTCGTGGTGGATTTTCTCTTCGGGGTCCGTGTATTTTATTTTCAAAAATATCCACGGATTCGGTACTGCTAATCTGACGGGCTGGACCTACCCGAGACCAGAATCCAATGAAATAACCGTTCGGTTCTGTTAAAAAAGATAGTGAGATTATCACCTCGCTTAAAACACACTTAGAGGGCCTATTGATATATAGGATTCAAGTACACTCTGAAATTACCTATTCATAACTGAAAAGTAGATAATCTGACTCTGAGTCATAATCTCATGTTTGAGTATTGGGCAATACATAACAAGACTCTTAGATACCAAAAAAATACTAAATTTCTTACTTTTCACCATTGATGAGTGAAAAGCAAATTAAAAAACAAAATTTATATACACTTCTCAATTTCCTTATTGAGAATATATATTTAATAAAATTTTATAATTTTTGTTTGTTTTATGCATTAGTGGCTAATGGAGAAGTAAGATCTTAATTTACCAGGAAAAGCTAGGTATGGTAACAAACAACAATGAGAACCAGGGAGAGACAAATAATTTTTAAGCACAGAAGAAAAGGTATGTAGCTATTTGTTGCCCACGCTATAAGGACACAGTCAGCACTTAACTCAAGAATAATTTTTACCCTGGGGCATGTGAGATTTCATTTTCAAAACTCTAATTACAAAAAATAGGTTTTATTTATATGAATGGAAGCAGTCTTAAAATCCCGAAACATCACAACAACTAAAGGGAAAGAACACAATCTAATTTTTTGTAATTAATCTTCCACCATGTACCGCGCCACACAATACAAATATAAAAATTAATAAAAAACATAAACTCACGAAAGGTCATTTTTTTAACTTATGGGCTTCAAAATAAAAAAAAAAAAAAAAGTAAACATACCACCCAATAAATATGTGGTCTGATAGCACGCTCACGATCATAATAAGTGTGATTCGTCACCGTAAATAAACCTACATATACCAGGAGCTATGTTGCATGGAACCAAAGGGTAATAGCACTAATAATATTTTTTATATCACAAAATGGTCACAACTAAATCTCTATCTATTCATCGTTCTCCATAATTACCACAGTAAACAGCTAAATAAGTTTTTTAGAGTATATTAAATATATACCAAAACATCAATTTCAATAAACAAACTTCATAGTTATTAAATAAAAATTATAAAAAAATTAAACTCTATATTCATACAATTTTAAATTTCCAATTACTTTCCTAGCATTTCTTATTTGAATGACCCTGGAGCAATAGAGTCGGTAGATTTACAAAAAACAAAGAGTGACCGAGCTTAAATAATTCTCTTTTACCTTTGGTAATTATAAAATAAATATGCTTGGGGAGGTTGGGAAAATTTTTAGCTTGAAGGTCGTACAGGTGATGAGGGATAGTCGTAGTCTCAATATACATACAGAGGCTAGCCTCAGGTTTGCACTAGTATTCAGAGTGGGTGGGACTATGCCCAAGAATACCATTTATTGAACTGTGCCGCTACAAAATCATGATAATTTTTTAAAATTAAACACAAGTAGAGACAATTTACCATAAGCTTTTTAGTGGCATCACTACATCCCCCATTATTTTAGTTATTTATATATTTCATTATTTACCAAAATTTTTTTAATATGTATGAAGGTTCCATAAACTATACAGGAGTCGGAGTTTGCTAACTACACAGCCAAATCACTATAAAAGACAGACTGATCATAAAATATAAAAACAATTAATTTATACAAATCATACTATAAATCGTTAATAAGTCGATTATATCTATTGCAATTATATTAATTGAAAGAATATACATAATTTCTTAAGGGCCATTATCAAAAACTTCTCTAAATAAATGACATAAGGATTGTTAAATAAATATATTTCATTAAATAGTGCTGTAATGCCCTTTTATATTTTGCTTATATATTTACGGTAAGTGAACTATAGTGTTACTATTTGATCCATCAGGTTGAACCACACTACACCAAATAAGTAATATATTAATATTTAAATAAATAAACAGTCATTTCTAATAAATCATAGACATAAAATATAAAAAATACTTAATTTCTTATCTCAATATAATTAGTTAAATTCTTAAAATTATTATAATGATTGAAAAATATATTAATAGTGCGTATGCTTTTTTTTTATATAGGTCATACTATGCATGGCTTTTTTGCTATTGCATATCTTATGAAAAGCTAAACATTATACTTAAGAAGATATATCTTAGCATCTCAACTTTTTAGCATATTTCAATAAGATACAATTTATCATTTTATTATATCATTTTACTATTTTTGAATAATATTATAAAATACTATATCATCTTTTAATATTATTCTGCGCATCGTGCGGATTATAAGAAAAAAAAATTATATCTTCAAATAATATCATATAAGAGAAAAAAAAACTAAATTAGTACTAATGAACAAAAACTATTTTATTTGGAAATAAAAAAGGAATATAAGAAAAAAGAATTCCGATAATTTTCTCTTCAAATTAGAAGGAAAATAAAAAACTATAAAAATAAAGTTGTAGAGAAAAATTAATTTTGTTTTTCTTTTATATCCAAAAAAAATAAGTAATAAAATTGTTTTCGAAAATAAATTTAGTCCTTTCTTTTTTTTTTTTGATTATTCATTAATAGAAAAGATATAAAAATAAATTTAAAAAAATTCATCATGCGACATGGGAACGTATGTGATACAATAATTTCTTAAAAAGTAAGAGATTCACATGTTTAAGACACACTAAACTAAATAAGTATAATATATTAATATTTCAAATAAATAAACAATCAGTTATAATAAATCATAAATATAAAATTAAAAAAATACTTAATTTCTTATTATTTCTGGGTAATTTTTCAATATAATACCTTAATTAATTAATATTTTTTCAAAACTATTACTTCGCTTATTAAAAAATTACATTAATAAGTGGTGTAAAGAATATATATTTATAAATGCATGTCATATCAAGAGTGTCAACAAATAAATAAACAATCAGTTATAATAAATCATAAATATAAAATTAAAAAAATACTTAATTTCTTATTTCAATATAATTAATTAAATTTTCAAAACTATTATCGCTATTAAAAAATACATTAATAGTGTGTAAGATTTTTTATGCATGTCATACCAAGAGTGTCAAAATGGGTCTCGACACGTAAACACGATTCGTTTACCATGCGAAATAAATAGGTTAGGTTTGAGGTTAAACGAATTCGTGTTATAAATGAATCACCCATTTATGACGCGAATATAAACGAATTGACATTTAAGTTAGGTGATCCGTTTATTTAAAAGTAAAGAGATAATTTTAGTGTTAAATATAAATACTCCAACTAAAACCTATTTAAATTTTATTGTTATATTACTTTTTGTTTTAATTATAAATCTTGAACAATTTATGCATGTCATGTTCATATTAACTGTCTAATTTTCATATTGTATTTATATCAAAATTATAAAAAATTATTTCATCTCATCCTTTAATATTATGTCACGCATCTGGCTTAACATGAATAATGTTACATCATAGGCTATCACCAATACGTAATTCCATTAACTTTTCTCATTTTATTGTGGTTTTTCTCATAATATACACTTTGGTAAGAGTGTCAAGCCTGTGCCAATAGTCTAAAATTATTCGACCAGTTCTATTCAAACCCAGTTGGACTAATGCTCACTAAATAAATCAACTTTTTTAAAAAATTAAATTGAACCAAATCAAAGTGTACAAAATCAAATCAAACCAAAATGTTCAATTTGATTTAGTTCTACCCAGTTTTAGCAAATTTTTATACAAATTTAGACATTCATAAGCATCATTAAAACTGAATCAAATGAAAAAATCTTCAAATTTCTTTCTATTAAAAACTAAAACCAAATCAATTATGTAAAATGCTAAACTGAACCAAATCAAACAGATTTGATTTGGTTGTTTGTTTGATTTTTACTAAATTTTGCTCAGCCTACATAAAATATTTAATGAATCTACTAGGCGACATAAAAAAAATGTTAAGAATCTTTAAGTTGCCAGAACTTACAAGCATCTATGTTAATGACACTATGAAAAGCCATACAGAAACGGGCCTTCAAGGCAGACAACAAAGCCAATATGGAGAAATACAAGACATAGAAATTTTGCTTTTTTTTCAAAAAAAAAAAAAAAAAAAAAAAATATGGAGAAATACTAAGACATAGAAATTTTGGCTTTTTTTTGCAAAAAACAAAAAAAAAAAAAAGGCTTCAATTGAACAGTAGAAATTTCATATTTTCTAAAGGAACAGGAATATACAAAAATATTTTTCTCACGCTGTGCTACAACTTGATGCTTCTTGCATTTATTCTGACATATTTTCAATCATCTGCTGAGCAGAATGAGATGTGTGACAAAAACATCTCCCAAGGATGCAAGTAAAAAAAAAAAAAAAAAAAAAAAGGCTTCAATTGAACAGTAGATTCATATTTCTAAAGGAACAGGAATATAAAAAATTTTCTCACGCTGTGTACAACTTGATGCTCTTGCATTTCAACTCTGACATATTTTTCATCATCTGCTGAGCAGAATGAGATGTGTGACAAAAAACATCTCCCAAGGATCAGTCATTTCAGTGATGTTAAAAAATTGTATCTACCTACAATATGCAGAGATGGTAAATAAAATCAATGGGGACAAAAGAATTGGCCAACACTCTAGAACATTGCACCAGTACCGCCTGGAATTGCTTCAAGCACTGAGGTAGATAGAAGAATTCTTGGCCTCTGCTCGAAGAATCATGCTTACTGTTAGATCTAAATGAAAGTCTGTATATTTGCAAACCAAGAAAAGAAAAAGTCAAGATGCAGAAATTCACAAGCAACCTTGCATTGCGTCTCGTGAATAATTCTGGGAAGTGCCAACGTAGTATAGGGTAGTTTGAAATTGAGTTATGATGAAAGTTTTCTAGCTTTATCAACTGCCTCAACGTAGTAATATAACCTCCAAAGTGTTGCATTTTCCTGGAAAAGACAGCATATTAGGAAGTGATAGAAAGTTATTTACATGTTAACATACCATATGTTTTATGTTCCTTATACCTGTTGCTCCAAATCGATGAAAATTTCATCAGATTGATGTGTATCGACTGGCTTGCTGCGTTGTACAATTTCAACCACGCGGTTGTAGTTCTTTGGGGGTAACTTCTGAATTAGTTTTCTAAGCTGCTGCTTCTCTGTTAGGGTCATTGGCCTGCAGGTTGTAGGTGGCAGTTTGGTTCAAGGTAATAATTAAGGCAAAGCCCAAACTCACACCAACACAAAATGTTCAGAAATCTAGAAACTTCAGACGATTCTAATCGATTTAACCTCTCAACATTTATTCTTGACATTAGACATTATTGCAATGTGATCAGATTTCATTATTTCAATATGAATGAAGGCTAAAGATATAACATTTCTTGCGATGGAACTTCATTAATAGGACATAACTTGCATTTATACATCGAATCTCCTATGATTAAGGAATGTGAAATTGCACAGCAAAACAAAAAAGTTGTATATCTGTTTAGCATCCAATGTAACGTACCTGCATGTAGACACCACAGTATCAAGAATTTCTTCAAGTTGCTTCTCCATGTGGCCAAGCTGAAAAAGAAGCATATACCTTTTTTCAGATATGATTATCACAAAATTAATTAACATTTTTAAACACAACAGGGCCTTGATATATAACAGTAAAAAAAACAGGATAGATTTTCAGAAAACTACAGTTGTGAGTAGTTGATCAGAATATTTCTTGATTGTCTCCTCAACCAACGAGCTATCATTCTCAAGTAGAAACTGCAAATCACCATCCCCCTAGTGCAAAGAAAACAGTAGACATTCACATTAATGAACAGATTAGTAATGTCTATGCGTAGAGTGAGAGTTAGGCGTATGAGTGCATCTTGCACATCCTTGATAACTCTCCTCCATTGAATCTAAAAAGGCAACTTAATTTTGCATCCAGCAAACTCTTTAAACCAAATCAATAAATATGAATCATCCACTTCTCACCTCTCTGTCTCCTTTGCCAGAAGATGTGTTTGAGCCAAAATGAGATTCATTTTCATTTTTATTAGCATTGCACTGAAACTGCAGGAAAAAAAGGCACCAAAATAACTGAGTTTATTGCCTGCATATGTATGTCAAATGAACAATCATATACAAACTAAAAGATTTAGTAAGCAAATGTATAGAATCCAAAAATTTAGATGCTGAACCCTGTATTGGAAAGTGAATTTAACATGAATCTTCCACACAGAACATGAATCTTCCACACAGAAGCTCATTGAATCTAACGTCTTCATGAGAATATGAATAAAAGGCACTATGATTTGAGGATTTCTTGGTGGATTACTCACCCAAGCGTTTTATGGTATGCGCCATTTGCTAGAGAAGAATAATTCAATATGTTGAATAAAATTGTCAATTTATGAATGGCATTGAAAAATTGTGACACGGTGTTGAATAAGCTTGTCAATTTATGAACGCCATTTGCGAGGCATATGAGGGTTCTACTTTATATGAAGGAAAATTTTAGAACTGACTTGCAGAAGCAGTAAGAATGCGTTGATATATTTGTTCTATTTGCAACTTTATCTGCACTGTGAATAATGTATATCCCTAAGTTCTGACACCTAAAATATTAAATATCCCTGTAGAGGTTACAATCTCATATAAAGAAATCATGAAAAATTGCTAAAAAGGGCCCTGTAAAAAACATCTAAGCAGTTATTAAGTTTCCGACTCGAATAGATAAAGGAAGAATAACAGTTGAGAACAGTTTGTTCTATCCAAAACAGGCTTGGATTGAACTTAAAATTTGCCCATGAGGAACATAAACTGCATCATTCTAGATTAGTATACTTAGGGAAATCCAATAAATGAACATGATACAATATCCTAAAGAAGGAGAATGTACTGGCTGTAACAACAGTGGCAATGGATTGGGTTTGGCCCCCTTCCACCACTGACCGGCATTTATCTTGAACTAATCCACTTGATGAACCAAAAAAAAATCCCACCTCAACACCACCCCCTCCCCCTTCACTGCCCTTCTGCCCCATTGGTTTTCTAATCATTTAGGTCAAGATTTGTTACATTCTTTACAATCCAAATATTTTTAAAATAGAATCCCAGTTCCTTTAATCAATCATGGCAAAATAAGATAGACACAAGATGAAACAAAATCATAGACAAATACGGCATATAATCCCAAAAGGGACAAAACAAAAATTAACAAACTAGCAGTTTATATCAAAGAGGGGAAAAAAAGGCTGATCAAAAGATAACCAACATATCCCATATCTCTCAAACTAATACCTGTAGTTTAAACTGAAACAGCATATACCATCACTTCTTACAAATAAGGCAACAAGAAATGTTGATTTATGAAATTAGAAGATAAAAGTAATTAAAGAAAAAGAGGAATCACAAGAAATCATGCATAGAGGGGAGTAATGTTTCAAAGAGAAACTTCAGAAAATCATTTTGGATATTTTGACATCAAGCCATAGGAAAGAATTTTGGATTGTCAGGAAGTTTGGCAATCTTATCATGCATAACATTTTATTCAAGAAAATTATCATAAAATACAATACCATTTGAAGAAAATATAAAAAAGGTTTCAAATGCATAAGATATTTAAATGTAAACTAATATGAAGAACAAGGATTTATTGTAAAAGCATGTGTAACCTCTTTACATGTTCCAGAACTAATAGGACTAGTGGGTGTAGCAATGGTTGTTGATGAGGAAGATGACATCTTGATTCTCTTATCAGGATTCTTCTGCCTCATCTTACCCTCAGATTCTGTGCCTTTGTGACCTGAAAATAACTTTCTGCTTCTGACCTCAGTTTGCAATTTACGCATAGCCACAACTGGTTCAAGCATCTGCATTCAACAAATCACATGGTTACAGGAAATTCAAGTACTTACGATACTAGTTAACAAATGTCTATATTTTGATAATTAAACTGCCTAAAAGTCATGCAACAAAAGTAACGAGATCACCTAGTCAATTCTCCAAGTATCAAGTTTATCGCATATGGATTCCGTAACTTTGCAGAAATGTATCACTACAAAAAACAGATGGACATAGGGTAGAGAGATGAAATAACTCAGATATGTATCACATATGGGGTAGAGAAACTAAAAACAGATAGTCATAGGAGGTCTCACATCCTAAATGAAATAACTAGGGCTGCCAACATGATCAATTTTTCCCAGTATGACAAGGTTCTGAACACCTTCCTTGTATTGTAATGAAATTATAGCAAACTAGTAAGTAATTTGGACTGAAACTTTTGTGGAGCTACTGCTCTTTTGTTTTCTAAAGTCTTAACCAATTCAACACGTTGTATGAAGAAAATATGACATGGACCTATCAAAAGTCATCCAATGACTTGATGAACAACACCACAACACTTCGCAATAGGACTTCCTCTTGGCTTAACAACATTCACTGACACATCTAAATGAAATTCATCTTTTGTGACCAAATTAGAAACATCAAAATTCAATGACAAAAACACACACACAAAACCCCTACTCACAAAAAAACAAAATGCACAATTGAAGTGGCCCTAATCTTTTCTTTAGCAATTACAACCCAAAACAAATTTAGCTGCAATTTTATCTAGACTACGTTTTGAAGCAAAGTCAACAGGCTCTTCCCTATCTATCAACCATTGAAAATTAAAGATTTGCAAACAAAGATTAACCCAATAACATCATATGACGAATTTTCCTATCTTTCTGTAGCTTCAAAATTACTTACACCTCCATTGTATAATGACTTTGTAACTCCATATCATCAAAACCATAATGGCTTAATTTTGCCTATGGCGGTAACAACTACTTTTTTATTAAACAACTATCCTGTTATATAGTGGAGTGAGTGTAGTGGTTCTAGCTTCATAAAGTATTTTGATATGCCATGACTGTGAATTTATTAAAAAAACGACAAAAGCGAGTAAGCATTCACAATGTAAATTGCAAATAACTTTACATTGTGGGGTGTAATTATCAATACATATATATAGACAAGTAAAATTGCAAAAGGCAGCAAAGTACCAGTAAATTGCACAAGGCCTTCCTCCAACGTTAGAACATATAAGATGCATCACCTTATTCTATCTGAGGCAAATCAACTAGCATGTCTCCATTATCCCACCGAAATTTAATTTTCCTTTGTACCTCTTTTTTTACTATTTTACACCTTAATATTCAACTAGGAAATATGTTTTAAGCCTTGTGCCCACCAAGCATGCACCTCCTTTCCCTTGTGCCTTATTCTTCAATGCATGTCTTAATCCACCTTAAGCCTTTTATAAAAATGGTGCCAATGGATTTTTCACGTAAGTTTCAAGTGTTACTTTATGAATTTGCCCCAAGTTAAACTCCATTATTTTTATGCATAAAAAAGTTAGGGTGAATTACAATTTAGTCCCTTGTCAAAACAAATTACACTATACAGGATTTCTATTTTTAAAAATTAATTTAGTAGTCCTTGTATTCTTTATAATTCTCCAACTAAATAGTCTTTTACTAGAATTTGTGTAATTTTTTGGTTAATCAACTAAAAACAAGTCAAAAAAACCAAAATATATGTAATTTTTAGGTTTAAAAATCACATAAAATTACTTGTTAATTGGTATTTTCTATTTGGAAGGTCATAAAAGACAAGGATTATCAAAATTAAAATAAGGATCTTTACTAGTATAATATATTAAAATATATAGATCAAATATTAATTCATAGTAAAGGGTAAAACTGGCTTTTTGAGACTATTCAATAGGAAATAAAATAGATGGACATGATAGCTAAACAAAGTTAAAATCGAAGAACTCTTAAATTAATTTTGAAAATACAGGTGTTGACTACTGTGCATCTCTATAATAACAGAGAAAAACGGTAAAACCCAAAAAAGTTCTTAAAAGAGAACATAGATATCTCAACCTAACCTCATCAACTTGTGGTGCAAGTACTGCTAATGTCTGCCGAAGTGATGAATTCAACCTTTCCTTTTTGTAATCTGAAAGACCAGCTCCCACGCTGTTGTGGAAAAAAGAACTAGAAGGCTCAATCTTGACTTGAGCCCTAACCTTCTCACATCCGTTTCTAGTCGATTCAGTGGCAAGAGGCAGGCAATCCTCATTTTGTGAGAGCAACTCTTTGATTTCACATGCATAGAAAGTAAAGTAATCCGGTCCTACTTTGCTCAAGTCATCTGAAGCAACCAATCCTTCTGAATTCTTCGACATAATAACAAAAGCAACTATACTGCAAACGAAAACCATGGAGTCAAGAAGATGGCAGAACCATGTAGTTTGATGTTAGGGTTGGGGGGGGGGGGGGGAATCTTTCCGGAAACCTAACCTCATCAACTGTGTGGTGCAAGAATACTGCTCAATGTCTGCCGAAGTGATGAATTCAAACTTATCCTTTTTGAATCTGTGGCAAGACCAGCTCCCACTAACTGTGTGTGAAAAAAGGAACCTAGAAAGGCTTCAAATTATATTCTGTGTGACGTGGGATCCGTGAGACCTTACTCACACTCCGGGTTTCTAGGTCGATTCACCCGTTGGGGCAAAGAGGCAAGGGCAATCTTCATTTTTGTGACGAGCAAACTCTTGATTTCACATGCATTAGAAAGTAAAGTAATTCCGGTGCACTACTCTCCACAGTCATCTTGAGCCACACCAATCCTCTGAATTTCTTCGGGGAACATAATAACAAAAAGCAACTATACTGCAAACGAAAACCATGGAGTCAAGAAGATGGCAGGGAACCATTGTTAGTTTGATGTAGGGTTGGGGGGAAGGGGGGGTATATAGCGAGGCGGGGGGGGGGGGGGGGGGTAGGGAAAGGAGGGCGATGAATTAACTAATCATTGGTTGGGGCAAGTAAGAATTGCAGCAAGTACCAATAAAATTTACTCTACCCAATCCCGAACTAGTGTAACATGCAGATGATCCGTATCCAACCCAAACCCATCTATCTCATCCTTTCTTCTATAAATCTACTCAGAAAATATAAATGCATCAGGTATACAATACAAACCAAAATCAAATAGTTATCTAACTTAAAGGAGCTACAATGCCAATTTAAGTTCCAAGTGTTAGGGTAAGATTTCTAATGGAAGCTGGAAAAGACATATAGGCTATGTTTAGTTTGAAGTGATGCAATGTAATGTAATAAAAGATGTAATGCAATCAAAAATGTAATTTAATGGAATGTAATTAAGATTCCATTACTACGTTTGGTAATATAATTGAGAAAATTTATGGAATGTAATCATCATTCCTTTTTTACGTTTGTTTGTAAATATATAATGTAATTAGTACACCCCTACCACCACTGCCATCACCACCACCACGTCGAACACCACTCCACCACCACGACATCATTATTAATACAAAAGAAATGTTTGAGCCAAAAGCTATTTGCCATTTATGCTATTAAAGACCATTTAAATTTGTAAATTTATTTGAACTAAAAAATAAAGAGAAGGTAACTCAAAAAAATGTAATATAACAAGATAAAAGTTAAAATCATTAGAAATTGATTTTTTCATATATTTTCATTGAATAAATTAAATTACAATATAAATTATGTGCATTTTGATATTTTTAATGCTTTTTATTCTATTTTTTCCATTTGTATAATAAAACAAAAGAATAAAATATAATTTTTATTCTGTGTTGCCTAATAAATACTAAAATATAATTTTTATTAAGTGATGGTGGTGATTGAGGCGGTGGTGGGGTGGTGGTAATGGTGGTCAAGCGATTGTGGTAGTGGTAGAGTTTTGATTGGAGCGACTTGATGTAATTGGTATTACATGTGCGTGGTTAGGTAATTGGGGTCAAGTCGATTGGTAGTTGGATAATAGGAGTTTTGATTTGGAGGTCCGACTTGATGTAATTCGGTTTATTACATGTGAGACTTAATGTAATGGTATTACATATGCTTGATGCTAAATTGGTTGAGGTTACTATGTGCTTGATGGTTGTAATTGGGCCACAAATCAATTGTTTTTTCGATATAATTGAATATATCATAATTGGTATTACATGTGCTTAATGTAATTGGTATTACATATGCTTGATGTAATTGGTATTACATGTGCTTGATGGGCCAATACAATTGTTTTTTGATATAATGAATATTACATCAATTTAAATAATGACGATTACATATACAATCTCAATTACATTGAAGTGTTTAAAAAAAAGTTTAACCAAACAATGTAAGCAATCATGTAATTTAATTCTCATTCCATTATATAGTTGATTATATCATACCAAACATGGCCTTAAAGCTCCCTGGGGTATATCCATAAGCAAAAATACTTTGCGAGCTAGTTGTTGATTCATGGGATGTATGCAGATATATTGTATAGAGCCTAATAGAGTAGGTAGTTTAATCAATAAAAGAATATATATCCAATGCATTGTTGATAGAGTGCCTAAAATGCCCTAATAGCAATTGAATTAGCTCTTGAAGGAAGCAACTGACGTAGTTAATCTACAAATGAAAGATATAATAATGTCACAAGCCATAAGAGGGTATAAGGTTAGAATGATATCCTTCTACCCACACACACACACAACTGAAGCACATTGAGGTTTACATAGGAAATTACCAAACCATCTCATACATCCTTCTAACATTTTATCCCTAACTTGTACTATTTGCAACTTTTGTCAGATGCGATCCTTTCTAATCTTGTCCAATTTTATGTGACCGCACATTCATCTTGAGGATATGTTGAGCATTTGGAGCCCAACATTCAGGATTGTATAATGTTGCAAATCTCATTGTTGCTTTACAAAACTTGCCTTTCGATTCATATCTTCCTACCAGTAGTACATCTATAGCACTCCTCCATTTCATCCATCTTATTTTAATTTTATGTGTTACATCTTCATCTACAATGTCACTAACGCACGCCCGCACACACGCTCACACAGGCTATATGAATCCTTTGTCATTATATCTAATTGAGTCCACAATCGCAAGCATAAGAAAGCATATATATATACATATATATATATATATACACTAGCCTATTATATACAATTATATATATAGTATATTATTAGATCAAGCCAGGGCACTATATTATAGCAGATGATATAGTAAAGAGTAACATAATAAATCCTCCAAAAATGTATTGGGATAGGCTATAAGGCAATCTCGTCTTTCGCTGTCCGGCTTTATTCTCACTCATTCGGCATTATCTATTCCATGTTTAGCACCCTCTTGAAGGATTACATCTTATACGAAATGGACACAATGGGTGTTTCTACATAACCACATTATGGCCAAAAACATATATGCATCCTTCCCTACATTATCTCCAACTTGTGCTACTTACACTTTGTTTTATTTCACGTTTGCAATTGCGCCCTTGACTAAGGTTTTCTTAATATATATATATATATATATAGCAGATGATAGTAAAAGAGTCTTAATCCTAAATTAGTTGGGATAGGCTATAGGAATCTCGTCTTCATTCTGTTTTATTTATAGTTGGATTATCTATTCAATGTTTAGCACCCTCTAAGGATTACATTTACGAAATGGACACATGGGTGTCTACAAACCACATGGCCAAAACATATATGCATCCTTCCCTCATTTATCTCCATTGTGCTACTTACACTTTTTATTGCAACGTTGCAAGCCTGACTAAGGTCCTATTGATTTTATCTTTCAACTTGTTCAGTATCTTTCTATCACACAGCATCCTTGTGGCACTCCATTTCATACATCTTGCTTGATTCTATGAGTTACATCTTCATCAATCAGACCCCTTTCTAGAACATGGAGCCTAAATACCTGAATTGACTGGACTTTGGAACCAGCTCACCGTCCATTGAAATCCCTTGTCCCTACTTCTTTTTTTTGTCAAACTCACAGTGCATGTATTTCATCTTGGTATTGCTTAGCCAAAAACCCTCATCAAAAGTGCTCTTCCATAATTCCAACTTTTTGCTAAAACCATACCATGCACATACCTATCTGAAATCACACCCAAGTTACATTTCTTAAGCCCAATCATGATTTTATCAACCAACCATGTCATAAAGACACTTATTTCAGCCATGACAAGCCACCGTCACAAAAGAATCCATAACCTCTCCATACTAAGTAGACCTAATCCTACAACAAAAAATCAAACCTATGTTAGAATCACTCTACTCTATTGAAGGTAAATTACATCAATTGCTTCCAACTATTGCTCTTAGTTTCAATAAGGTCATGAAAATTCAATTTAAATTTCATTAACGTTTATTAAAATAATCACATTTTCTGACAATAAACTGATAAAAAATTTACGTATCAATCTAGTTAGTAAATGGACACAAATAAATAATAACTAAAAAAAAACAGAACAAAAAAGATATTTTACTCTACCAATTTATTTTGTAACCCTCTTTCTCTCTCTTATTCACTGTGAAGCTTAGTGACATGCACTATGAGTTGGCCCTATTTAGAAGAATAAGATAAGGTGAGATTGGAGAGTACTGTGAGCTAAGTGCAGTCAACTCATAAATCTTGACAATATTTCAGAGGGTTGCATGATGGTTCAAGATGAAACTCATAGAACTAAAGTACAGTAAATGAAATAGAATAGTGCTACAGGTGTGTCCTATGACAGGAAGATATTTAACAAAGTGAAAGCAAGTTCCATAGAACGGCGATGAGGCCTATCATCTAATATAGTAGTGAAGATTAGGCCCCAAATGCCCAACATGTTCACTAGATGAATGTAGCAAACAATGTAAATATTAAGATTAATATGTGGTCAGACAAGATTAGAAATGACCACATCCTACAAAAAGTGCAAGTAGCACAAGTTAGGAATAAAGTACGAAAAGTAAATTGTGATGGTTTGGTCATCTTATGCATAGATCCCTTGTTCTCCATTTTGTAAGTGTGATACATTAATAAACAAAAATGAAGGAAGCACAACAAGGAAGAGGTAGACCTAAAACCACATGGAGGGAAACTATCTCAAAAGACATACTTGTCACTGATGTGGACTTAGTATGAAAAGAAGGGAATAAAAACAAAAGGTTCATATAGCCAGACCCAACAATTTTGAGCTTATGGCTTAATTACTATTGTTGTTGAAACTCACTGTAAAGCTTAGTGACAATTAATGTAAATTTATCAACCTGACGATTGTTAGCCTTTTTGCTTTCTACATTTGCTACTTGACCTCTTCAACTACTTTCAAAAGCACTATCACTACCATCAACCTAAACACC